TGAAGTCGCCCCATCGAGGTGGTGTGTGGAGGGACCTTTTGCATCGTTGATATCTCGTTGATCGTGTGTCTAGCTGCAATGAGGGCCTTTCCGCTCGGTGATATGCAGCCTGTCGAAACCCTGTCGTTGCCCCGGGTTGGCTCCCAACTTGTATTTGCCAAACGTCTGGAGCTATCATGTGGGTGGCAACCCAGAGGCATGGCGGCGAGCTCCGAGTCGCGTGGTGGCCACTGCATTTCGCAGCTTATCTCGAGGATGGACCAAGAATTCGCCCGCCCGCGGTCTTGCCCCGGGTGTCCTCGGCCTGATTCGTATGCACAAGACGGACAGGGAGTAGAAGCTGGCGGGGAGGAGGAGGATGGGGGGGAGGGAGGTTGCTGGTGGGAGAATATATGAGGCCATGTTTCGCAGTCGCACTTGCCATGATTGCTACTGTCTCCTGCCCGACCTCCTTCCTCCTTCCTCTCTTCCCCGAGTTGCCTCCCTTGTATATTAGGCAGGCACGATATTGAATTGGACAGCACACACAACCTTCTCCCCAGAGTTTCGAAAGGAACCGGATCAGACTTCTGTCACTCGTGTGTAGTTGGCCAAGATGGCGACCAATCATGAGGATACCGCTGCTGAGTGCGTATAGACCAACTGCACCTACACGGCACCCAGGGCTATGGGTACCACCATAATCCCGATCTGATGACCGGACCTGGGACATCAAGTCCTGGTCTGTTCGTCTTTAGAGATTGCAGAATGCATCTTGCCTTCTGCTCGTTAGTATTCAGTGGCTGACAATGCTATTCAAAAACAGGCTCCATGAGCAGCTCACCGAGCGTATTCCTGACAAGAAGGAGACAAGAGACCTGGCTGGAGGATACATCGAATCCAACAAGGCTGTCTCAGAAAAGATCGGCGAGGCCAAGCACAGCGTAGAGTCACCGGCCGACGAGAGTGGTCCTACCCCTGATGGCGAGGAGCCCACCGACTACGAGAAGAACACTTTGCGCCGTATCGGAGAGAACCTGCCCGCCGCCGCCTACCTCGTTGCTATTGTCGAACTCACTGAGCGTTTCGCCTACTATGGTGCCCAGGGTCTGTTCCAGAACTACATCAGCTACGATGTCGACGGCGCTGATGGGCCCAAGGGCTTGGGAATGGGCAACCAGGCTGCTACCGGTCTCAACCTTTTCTTCCAGTGGTTCTGCTATGTGACACCTATTCTGGGTGCTATCATTGCTGATCAGTATCTCGGAAAGTACAAGACAATTCTGCTCTTCTGTTGTTTCTACTGGGTCGGTCTGATCATTCTGTGGACAACCGCTCTCCCTACTTCCATGGCTCATGGAGCTGGCAAGGCCGGCTACATCGTTGCTATCATTGTCATCGGACTTGGAACAGGAGGTATCAAGTCAAACATTGCTCCTCTGATCGCTGATCAGTACCAGCGCCGTGTCATGGCCGTCAAGACCGAGAAGACGGGTGAGCGTGTCATTATTGACCCTGCTGTTACTTACCAGCGTATTTACATGGTCTTCTACTGGTGTATCAACTTGGGAGCTCTCTCTTTGATGGCGACACCTTTCATGGAGAAGTACAAGGGTTTCTGGACTGCTTTCTTGATGTGTTTCGTCATGTTCAACATTGGTATCTGCGTCTTGATTTCGTGCCGCAAGTACTACATCGACCGTCCCCCTCAGGGATCCGTTATTACCGACGCCTTCAAGGCCCTTGGTATGATGATTGTTGCCAGGAATATGGATGCGGCTAAGCCTTCTTGGCGCGAGGCCAACGGAAAGACCAAGGTTGTTCCCTGGAACGACCACTTCGTCGAGGAGCTGAAGCGTGCTCTTCGTGCTTGCAAGGTCTTCGTCTTTTGTACGTTTCATCTCAACTTTCTCCTTCCGATTTGATTTACTTGTTGGCTAACATCTGTCATTAGACCCCATCTTCTGGGTCTGCTACGGCCAGTTTTCAACCAACTTCGTCACCCAAGCCGGTCAGATGGAGGGCCACGGAATGCCCAACGATTTCATGCAGAACTTTGACCCCGTATCTATCCTGATCTTCACACCCATCCTGGACCGTGTCGTCTACCCCATCCTCAGACGTATGGGAATCGAGCTCCGTCCCATCATGCGTATCACCATTGGTTTCTGGCTGGCATCTTTATGTTTGGCTTACGCTGCCATTGTCCAGCACCTCATTTACCGTGCAGGCCCATGCTTTGAAAGCCCTGGCGCTTGCCCCGAGGGCATGGATGGAAATTCCAAGCTGCCAAACCACATTCATATCGCTGTCCAGACCCCTGCGTACGTCTTCATCGGCCTTTCTGAAATCTTCATCTCTGTCACTGGTCTCGAGTACGCCTACACCAAAGCCCCTCCCAGCATGAAGTCCTTCGTTCAGAGTCTGTATCTCTTCACCAATGCTTTTGGATCTGCTCTTTCAGAAGCCCTTGTTTCCGTTGCAAAGGACCCCAAATACCTGTGGATGTATACCGGTGTTGCCGTCTTCGCCTTCTGCACTGGATGCATTTTCTGGGTTCTCTTCCATCACTATGATGACGACGAAGAGAGGATGTACGATCTGGATCGTGACCAGCCTGTGGCTTCTCTCCCCAACGCGAAGAATGTTGAGGAATAGAAATGTTCCCAGACAATATTGGCAACCTAAACCAAATATATGGGAGAGGCGCTGCCGATATAACTTGATGTTAGGAAGATAGCCTTTCTAGTGTTCAGTGATTCATAAAGTAATTAGTAAATACAGAAACAATCATATTGAAATGAACATAATGTACTTGGTGATCTGTTCAATCGCCATTGGCCTTGAGTTGAATTAGTCGCTTCAGCTGTAGATGGATGAATTCAGCCCAAAATTCATCATTGTATATCACACAAGTTTCTCTCAGAGCGCTTCTTGCCTTGTTCGCCGGCGGTTCATAGCGATGAATGATCTAGAGTCTTCTCCATGAGGTTTTATACATGAAGAGTCTACACAATGTTGGGTGAATATGCGGCCACATTCTGAATTCCTATTGGCCTCTATCAGACTATCATAAACAGTTGTGTAAGAGACCCGGACTAGAACAACGACTAAGATGATTTACAACTTTGGATAAGCCAAGAGTTGCGAAAGCAGGAAGTTCTTAACACGCTGGCCGCCTTTTAGCATAGGTAAACCGGAATTGACCGTGACTTTGCTCGCTTTTCTTTTTTCTTATCTAGATGCGTGAATGCGTTAGGTAGTTTGTATACTCCTCTACCTCAGCTCGACGAAAGGTCCGCGTCTTCCCTAGTCCTGGCAACGACTATCACCGCCTTCACCACCTTGGACCTGCCAAACCATTCGAACAGCCGCCCGGCCAGCTTGTACCCACCTAGGGTGACCGAGTACTGGCTCAGGGCACGCTCCTGGCTATCGATGAACCCCGAGACCCCGGAGAAGACGTGCTCGGATATGTCGCTGATGGTGCTGCTCTCCCTGTCGTAGCCGCACTCGACCAGCTGGTCGAGATACTCCTTCTCGGTCAGGAACGTGTCGACCGGGCACCCCATCATCACCCCCACGGCTCTCATCCTCAGCTTATCCCCGAAGGAGGCATTCTCGTTCAGCACCAGGTCAAACGCCATCGAGTTCGCCCGCAGCCTCCTGGCCGCGTACTCGAACACGGGCCGCCGCGACGGCTTGAAGTGGTACAGGCAGTCCAGCGCCAGCAGCCACCGCTCGGCGTACCTCTCGTCCGCCAGGGCCTCCACCGCGGCCCTCGTCCGCTCGTCCCACGTCCCCGGCCTGGCCGCGTCCGCGCAGAAGAGCTGGAACGAGTCCGCGTCCGGCCCGTTGTCGGCGGCGGCGAGGAGCTGCTCGCGCGCGACGCACCGCCGGGCCGCCTGGATCTGCACGCGGCTGAGGGTGAGCCCGACGTAGCGGAAGGCGTCCCACCCCCGCTCGGGGCGGGTGAGGCGCACGAGCTCAAAGGTCTGGTCGCCGCAGCCGAACCCCAGGTCGAGGACGGCGAGGGACCGGGGGGGCTGCTGCGGCCTGCCGCCCGGCTGGTTGAGGATGCCGGCCCTGTCGAGGATGTTTCTGAGGAGGGTGGAGCAGGCTTCCTCGAAGTCATGGATTGGCTCACCCTTTGCGTTTGTCCTGGGAAAGATTAGTCTCTGGTTGGGTTGTATGCAGGATAGATTGTCCATCGTGGGTTACATATGAAAGTACACATAAATGTAACCACACTCAACAATATTAAACAACTCGGTGATGTATTAGAACAAAATAAAAGTCACCCGCTTACCAATATCCCAGGTTCATCCACATGGTCGACAGCGGCATCTTGGCGTTCAGCTTCCAGTGGCCGAGGCCATAGGCGTCGCTGGACCTCAGGAAGGAGAAGGCGACGACGGCCATGACGAGAAGGGCGGCGAGGAACCCGCCCACGAAGGCGAGGGCGATCTGCCCGCCCGAGGAGAGCGCCGCCATAGCAATTGGACGTGCGGGGGAGAGTAGCAGATGTCAGCTTTTACTTCCCGTGCGAGAGCACATCCATGGATGCATCCGAAGAGTGCCAGGGTCGTCGTCAGTGCCCGCTGATCCTGGCGGTTTAGGCTCAGCGCCCCCCGTTAGGTGCATAATACCGGTGTGGTTGATAATAGCCTCTTCAGGCAAATACACCGTTGGACTCTCTCTCTCTCTCTCTCCCGCATGCAGTGCCGCAAGTCTACTCGTACGGCATCATGGCAACAGAACGAAATAAAGGACCCAGCACGATATTTAGAATTATCGTATGTGCAATAGTGGCATCATTGGGTGGACAGCACAAGTCCAGCAGTGACGCAGCTATAGCAATAGTGCATCTGAGGCTGACCGGCTGGTTGGAGGTCTCACTGTCTCAAGCAGAGGTCCGAGTTGGAAAGCGCATTCATCATTATTGTGTACCCATTCTCCGTCCCCTGTTCATTAGTACCACCAATTATTGGGCCCGTTGACAACTGCATCATCTACCTACCTGGACTTGTGCTCGTCGGGACTTGCCAAGGAATGTTAACCCCAAAGTCTCCCGCCACTCTCATCGCCGAGACAATACAACCTTCCAGCAACACCATTCCATCCCAGCACCATGCTCCCACCAGCCAAACATTATCTTGTCCATTCGTCCACTGCTCGACCTGACCATCATCATCCGCTCTATGGCTAGTGCTTGGTCGGTTCATGATGCTGTTGATCAGGGCCTGGCTCTCTGTGCTGCGGATGGTCCTCGTAAACTTGGCTGAGTGCAGCACCTTGTTATTCAGACCCAAATCTCCGTCAAGAGGACATGTGCTGACTACGACACCGCTGGGCATGGTGTGAAGCGCCTCCGACTCCGATCCCTTCTCCGAGAATCTCGATCTAAGTGCAATGACTTGTGCACTGGAGATGCTCTTGCCGTGGTGCATGCACTGGGATGACGTCGGCTCGTCCGTCTCGATTACCGAGTGTCGGGCTGTGCCTTTTCCTGTGGTAGCTGACAGGACTGAGCTCTCGACCTGGATAGTTGGGATTACGCTGAGCCTCGAAGCCAAGGGTTTGAAAATCCTGCTGGCAACATCGGGGGACACCGCGAGAATGACTCTGTCAAACTTGTCCTCTGAAACTGACCCATCAATTACAGATCGCCAGCGAATCTCAACACCACCAGCGAGCTGATCTGATAGAGGCATGATCTGGATTACCTGGGCGTTCAGCCTCACATCCTCGATGCCCTCGGCCAGCCTTAGTTCGACCTGGTTGACCCCTCCACACACGGCGTAATGCTGCTCCCCGTGCGACAATCGCTTATAGTTGACTACGTCGCTGGCCGGAAATGCCAGAAGCTGATCATGGGAGCATGTCGACACGGAGCTCATCAACGGGAGGAGATAGTGAGTGATGTAACGACGTGGCAGCCATATCCTCCGCGAATACTCGTCGAACGATTCCCCGTGCCCCTCGCAACCCGAGCTCGCAGTCGTCCGGGGCTGAACGAGAAAGCAGGCGACCGAGAACCAGAAGTGGCAGACGATCAAATACAGAATCTCGACAATGTGCGCTACGACCCCTCTCTTTCCAGGCCATGGCGGGGGTGTCTGGTGTAGGTTCGAAGCGTGTACGAAATACGTCCCGGGCTCGCTACCGGCCGACAACGACGACGAGCTATTGGCAGGCAGCGCCTTGGCGAACACGAAGAGGAATCGAATGGGGTGCAGTGGGATCTCGAGGTATTCGTACATGCGCATCAGGTTGGCATAGTACCCGCCGGCGCTCGCGCGCATGGGCAGGTCGACTCGCTCAATGGCGCCGGTTTTGCCATCCTTGACAGCAACTGATGCCGAGTCGAAGGAGAGCTTGTTGGACTGCGGACGGAGAAGACGATACCTGTTAGCAACACGAGGGGAACCAGGGCAGGGTCCCGGATCTCACCTGCTCAAACAAGGTCACCGAGTATCGCTGGCGCTCGTCATTGTGTAGTAGATGGGCTGTGGTGAGGCCGGCAAGACCAGTGCCGATGATGGCCACCCGAGCTCCCCCCTCTGACGAGTGAGCAGAGCCTGCCATCGGTGATTGGGACTGTTGAGGTGAAGCTGGCTGTAGCTATCGTCACTCAAGTCATGCGCCGCTAGGATCCAGCAGCGGTGTGGGCAAAATGAATCAAATCAGGGACCTCTTATTGGGCGATGAACGGACGAAGAGAAGAGCCACTTGTGGGAGATGCGGGCTCGACACTGATGCCGGCCGCGAGGGGGAGAGGGCAGGGTATGTATGTAATTATTATTTAAGTGAACTGATCTGCCCCGTCCCAGGTCTCCGGATCACAGGATGGGCAGCAGCGAACGTCTGAGTGACGCACCGGATCCATTTTGGGCGAGATGATGCAGCTGGACACACTCCCCTGAGCGGGCAGAGTCGTTGAGTCCCGGCAGCCACTGCCGCCGCTCCAACAAGAAAAAAAAGGAGGGAAAAAAGAGAAGCGATCTGCCAAAACGGGGCAAGACGGCGTCGAATGCGAATGCGGCGATGGTCTGCAGAGGTTAGACCGAGGCACACGCGCTGTTTATGGTGATGCCCCTCCTTGGCTGCGGGCCAACAGTGCTGGGCTAACTGCCTAGTAGGGCACTACCGCCGCTGCCAGTGTGAGGATGGGTGCTAGCCTCAACGGCGGTCGGCCGCCCAGCAGACATATGCAATGCAGTAAATGCAGTAAATGCAGTAAATGCAGGGTGGTGTGGTGGCTGTGCAGGTGGACGACGAGGGGACGAGCAGCGCATTGCAGTCATGATGCTTGATCGGAGTCGGGCTTGGTGATTGAATTGCCCCGATCTCACGCATTGAAGCTGGGCCTGACAAATCGAGCATGAGCTGACCCGGCGAGCGTGTGAACCATGTGGTCATCGCCAAGGGATGGGCCACTTCTAGTGCGCTTCCCTATCTTATCGTCGAGTCTGTGCCAATCGTAGACGTCAGTCTGGTGTAAGTGAAGTGGGCTTTGTTCAATTGCTCGTTGATATCCAAGCCGTTGTAACAACCATGGACTAGGAAAGGCCCGACGCCTTTCCCTCATGACTTCCACGTTGCTAGAAACTCTAATTGGGCATCTATGTTTGCCAACAAGTAGTCTTTTGACTCAGACATATTGCCTCCATTGACTCGCACAGACTCCGCTCTGGTGTCGAACCGCCAGCCATCCTGTGCGATGACCATGATCGCAAACACGCCCTACGGCTCTACTGATACCGGAAACGATGAGCTGGATGCTTACGAGTAGTTTATAGCTTGCTGAAATGTATCGAATAAACTACCATATTGCCATTGTCCATGGCTGTTTGGATTGAAACAGCACTCAGATATAAACCCCGGTTGTTGCATGAGCCACCACGTATTTTCACACCATCAATTTTGCCCAGTGCAGCCTCGCTAAATACATACACCCAACCAACTTTTCATCAACCTTTTGAGGTCCATATACGTATACGGCCACCCGCACCCCAGGCTGCTGTTGTAGGAATTTACTCCTGTACAGCACTCTAATTAAAGTGTTCAGCTTTTCGCATCAGCACAGAACGCCATGCCTCGACAGTCGCCCAACATCATCGTCACAGGCACCCCGGGCGTGGGGAAGACCACCCACTGCGAGATCCTGGCCGAGAAGATCGGAGCCCGGCACCTTTCTGTGAACCAGGTCGTCAAGGACAAGGAGTGCCACGAGGGATGGGACGATGAGTACCAGAGCTGGATTGTGGATGAGGACAAGGTGAGTGGCAGATATCAAAGACCCTCTACGAGGAGGGCTCACTTTCAAATTGAACTGGGGTTGTGGCTGACCGAAACCTTAAAAAAAGCTTCTAGATGCAATTGAAAATGATGTTCAAGAGGGGGGCTGCATCATAGATTGGCATGCGTGCGACCTGTTCCCCAAGAGCTGGATCGATCTGGTGGTTGTCCTCCGTGTTGACTCGACCACGCTCTATGACCGTCTAAAGGCGAGGTGAGAATCCCTCTCATGCCATGGCACCACCCTGTCAATTTCAAACATGGAAATTTATATTGATCAAACTAGAAACTACCCTGAGATCAAGCTCCAGGAGAACCTAGACACGGAGATCATGGAGGTCCTGCTACAGGAGGCCCGCGATGCCTTTGACGAGGAGATCGTGATTGAGTTGCAGAGCACCACATCCGAGGATATGGACACCAACGTGGATAGAATAGAGGCATGGGTCACACAGTGGAAGAAGGACAACGCCGAGCCCTGATCTCGGCGACGCTTCGTTTCACAGTTTAAAAACGACGTGTGGCACAGAGATGGGAGAGGGAAAAAAAAAATTGGGATGGCTTGGTTTCGTTCTTGGGCAAAGGGCAGCGGCGCAGGGTTTATTTGGATTAGACGAAAAAAATGTAGGGCAGAAATGTCGAGACAGACACCTGCTTCTACGAATCTATTATAGCACTGGTTTAAAACGGAAGAATTTCTATATGCTTTGCTTCATGCCCGTGTCTCTGCCTTATCATCAAGATAAACCGCCATCGAAGCAGGTCCGAGAGGCGGGGCAGTGAAATATTTATTAATGGGTCAATCTATGCTTAAACCGGGGCGCCTCGTTTGGACGAGAATCAACTACGAGTACACAAGCTTCCTTATCAACCAAACATTTTGAAGAAATCTGGTTTCACGCTGCCTTGCGTCTGATCACTCGTAAAAAATAAAACAATAGAGAATTAGAAGCCTCGTCTGCGATCAAGCCAGAACCATGCCTACCCACGTCAACCTGATCACGGGCAACCCCAACAAGCTGCGCGAAGTCAAGGCCATCCTTGAAGCCGCGGGGATCGAGGTCCGCAGCCAGAACATCGACCTAGAGGAGGTCCAGGGCTCCATCGAGGAAGTGACAGAGTCCAAGTGCCGCAGGGCAGCAGAGCAGGTACGGGATGTCATCTCATCTCACCCCCACCTTGAATCTCCCCCCCGTGCTAAATCTTTGGAAAGGCGGGTGGCCCCGTCTTAGTCGACGATACGTCTCTCTGCTTCAAGGCTCTGGGCGGTCTCCCGGGCCCTTACATGTGTGTTACACACCCTTCAGAGATTCTGCTCCTTTGGTTTCTCCTCCTGACATGTATCTTCAACAGCAAGTGGTTTCTGCAAACACTAGGCCACGAGGGTCTAAACAACCTCCTCGCCGCCTACCCCGATAAGTCCGCCGAAGCTGTGGCCACTTTTGGATACTCAGCTGGCCCGGGACACAAGCCCATCCTGTTCCAGGGCCGTTGCCCAGTATGTATTCATCCCACCGAGATTTGACGAGTGCGGGTTTGCATCTAACCCTGTGTCAACCTACAGGGCAAGATTGTTCCCGCAAGAGGACCTACCGATTTCGGTGAGTAGACAATTTGCGTTTCTCAAGCAGTGTGTTTGGAATCCTGAATTAATCGTTCATATTTTCTATTCTAAAATTACAGGCTGGGATCCAATCTTCGAATACGAGGGCAAGACGTGAGTTGGCCCCATTCTCCTCCCTCCATCGCCGCCGTCACGTCTAACAATCCTACTAGCTTCGCGGAGATGGACAAGTCGGAGAAGAACAAAATCTCCCACCGCAGCCTTGCTCTCCAGAAGCTACAAGACTGGTTCAAGGAGCAAAACAAGGGCTCTGAATAAATTCAATCGCTATGCATTTCATGGGGTGCTGGCAAGGCTAATAAGGAAAGGATTCGGTTAGTCTTCATGCAAATCACATCTTCGGCCGGTGTCTAATCGGGCATACCATAAAATTTCAAACTCGCCAAACCGGCGGAGGTACTTATTTCCTCGGCGGTAGGACTCGAGAACGCCCGACGCCTTGGCGGGCGGGTGTCTGAAGGGTTTGCCTACGAGGTTGGAAACAACGGAGGGATCTCGGTAAGAAGGGTCGAAGACTAGGAGGTTCGACTTCCCATTTGTCTGCTTCTCGAATCCGATAATGGTCATGGAGTGGCCTGGATAGACTTTTCTGTTAGCCCAATCCCATCATGCCATCAGTCTGCGATCGCAATGAATTATCCAAGTCCCACCTCGATGTTGGAAGTATATTGGCGGAAGTACAGTTGCATGTACTTTCGAGTCTTCTTCCAGCAGCCCCTGTTGGAAATACCGCTCAATAGCCGCGTACAGCAGGTTCCTAGCCACTGTGAAATCTTCATCTTTGAAAGCTTGAGGCGGGCATCTGTGTTGCCTATCAGTGAACCACTTCCGATATTGTAACGAAAAGGAAACTCTTACGGAATTCCCAAATTCGAGAACATTGCTGCTGCCTGAAACATAGTCAGCATTCTGGTCTGTCGTCCTGTCTTAAGACCAGACACTTACTGCTTACCTCTGGTGTGCCGATATATTTCCTTGTTCCCCTAATGCCACCCGTCTCGACTCTGCCCTGGACGTTGAATCCATTATCCCACGCATTTTCTATCAAGTCCTGAATTTGAAAGATGGAAGGAAACTTGGGGCCAAACAGGTTCGAGCCTTGCGCCCCCGATGCGATGATCCACGAAGTGAGCATCTGGATATTCCGGTAGCCGCAGAAACTTCCTTGATTATCGAAACAGCATTTAGCCAGCTTCTCCGGACAGTTCTAGGGTCATCCTGCTTCTCATCACCAACATACCTTCTCTTCTCGTCTTTGAAATATGTGTCACGCAGGGGCTGCACACATAGGCGTATTCAGTCGTGGAACATTGGTCCAGTAACTGCTGCAAAATCGGCACAATACCTGTTCAAGCTGGTTAACGAAGAGCTGTTTCCCTGATAGTGGTTCGAAACGGGGACGGAACCTTCTTTGCAGATGCCTTCATTCCGCTCCAGTATACTCACCAACCACTCTGGCATGTGATTCTCGTTATGGTGACGTCCCAAATCCGATTTCTGCGCATCAATAAAGAAAATTAGACACGAAGGATTACCCCAGATTTAGTAATTCGGGGGGGATGATGGCGTACTCCAAGCTTCGTAATCTCCTTCACAGACCTGGCTGAACTGTCGTTCTCCTGCCCCTGCGAACCGCTTGCTCTCGACTTGGTCAGCTTCGGCTGCGACCCGCCGCTCTCAGTTCTGCTCCTCTGGCGAGGTTTCCGGGCATCGTGAGGTCTGCTTGGCTTTTTGCTGCCGAATATGTCTCTCCACGCCTGGACGATCCTCGGCTGGGACGAGCTGGGCGCGGCTGTCTTCTTGGTGGGCGTCCGCTTCCTGGACGACGAGCCCTCCGCTCCCGAGTGGCGATGGTGGTGAGACCGATCTCCCTTCCTCCTCGACTCCCTCCTCGGCGTGCTGCTGCTGCCTTCCCTCTCTGTCGCCTCGGGCGCTGCAGGCGCTGCAGGAGGATCATCCGGGTGAGCCGTGTCAGTGTGCTGATCCACGACGAAGCAACCATCACCGTCAGCTAGAGTCCCCGAACTACGCAATGTGCATGGAACAACACATACCATCATGGCTTCATCAATCTCTCTCTCATCACATCCACTGTCCTCATCCCCAACCATGGGGTATCGTATCGGAAACGCGACGTGAATCGCGGCCCACTAGCCAATTACTTGGGACGCTTACGGTCAATTAGACTGAGCCAGGGCCGGGTACAGGTGGTCTGTGAGCTGGAGCCGAACGAAGGGGGTGTTGGCTACCTTGTGAGTTTTTTTTAATCTTACTCCAGGACTGACCGCATTTTTAAGATGGTTTCCTTGTCTACGTTGCTCTATGGCTCTACGATGGATTTGTGCATGAAATGGGGACGCTCGACCGCACTGACTCACTGCCGGGCAGATGCGCCTGTCATACTCTACATACCATCCGGCAAATCAATGTGTGGGTGGCGCAGCACCAACGCCGTCTGCTTCTCAGCCAAGATCCGGACACGGCGGTGATACCTGGCGATGGGCAATTCATATCCCACTGCGCATTCCCGATTGATTGGGCAAACAACTTCGTATCTTGGAACTGAGGGTATGCAAGCTGCCGGTTCCCCGTATTTATCCCCCCTGCTGAATCAGCGACAGACATTCACCATCGAATCACTATACCCGGCAGAACAAGCCTGTATCACCCATTGGCAGAGAGCGAGCCTTCAATTGATTGTTCGTCTATATGGCATGTTTTCTTTTTATAGAAACCACCTCGCTTCCCATGCACGCACAATCCACACACGCGTTCGATTTCCTTCCACCGCCATTTAGTTCTTGGGCTTCTCCCTCTTGGGGAGGGCCTTCTTGGAGGTGGACTCCTTAGGGAGCTCCTTGGTGAAGGGGATGAACTCTGGCTCGCCGGGGATGTACTTTCGGAGAACCTCGGGTACGCGCAGACCCTGGGAAGTAATTTGTTAGGTTCATTCTAGGCAGCGGGAACATGAGGGGAAATTGTTTCCCAAATTGGGGGGTACTCACATCTGGCGTCTGGTAGTTCTCGAGGATGCAGCAGATTGTCCGGGTAGTGGCGCAGAGAGTCGAGTTCAGGCAGTGGACGTACTTCTTCTTCGTCTCTGTCTGGGTCTTCGCGCCGTAGCGGATCTCGAGGGCCCGGGACTGGTAGTCGGTGCAGTTGGAGCAGGACACGAGCTCCTTGTACTCGCCCTGGAAGGGGAACCAGGCCTCCAGGTCGAACTTCTTGGCGGCGGCGTTGTTCAGCGCCCCGGAGACGATGGAGACGATCTGGTAGGGGAGGCCGAGGCTCTTGTAGAACTCCTCGGAGACGGAGATCATGTCGTGGAAGGCATCCCAGGACTTCTCGGGGTCGGTGAGGAGGAACTGCTCGATCTTCTCGAACTGGTGCACACGGTAGATTCCCCAGGCATCTCTGCCGTGTGATCCTGCCTCTCGGCGGTAGCATGTGCTGTATCCAGCATACCTTTGCCGTGCATCGTTAGTCGCGCTGTCACATGGTGTATCTTGGTTCAACTCACTTGATGGGGAGGTCCTTGGCAACGAGCCACTCGTCGGCATGGTAGGCAGAGATGGGCTGCTCAGAGGTAGCAATGAGGTACTTCTCATTGTCGCCGTCAGTGACCTTGTAGAGCTCTTCGTCGAACTGCTCAAGCTGGGCAGTCTTGGCCATGTAGTCCTTGGCCATGAACTGGGGGGTCTGAAGGGGAGTGTAACCACGCTCGCTGAGGAAGGAGAGGCCATAGTTGATCAGGGCCTGGTTCAGGAAAACACCCCACTGGCGCAAGAAGTATCCTCGGTGGCCGACAATCTTGACACCACGGTCGGGGTCATATCCATCAAGACGGAGCAGGACCTCGTGGTGGGAGAGCACTCCTTCCTTCTTCTCGACGGTGACGCCCTCAGGGGCCCAGGTCTTCTCGATCTTGTTGTCGTCCTCGTTGGCGCTGACGGGGACGGAGTCGTGGACGTAGTTGCCGATGGTCTTGAGCTTCTTCTTCAGGAGCGTGTCCTTCTCGGCGGCGGAATCGACGAGCGCCTTCTTCTCCTTCTCGAGGTTGGCCTTCTCCTGGAGGAGTTCGTCGGCATTTTCCTTAGCCTAAAAACACGCTTTGTGAGCAATCAGGTCCTGCTTAAAGCGCTTCGCTGTCTACACTCACCTTCTTCTTCGCTCCGATCTGCTTCTGCACGCCATTGATCTGGGTGTTCATCTGCATAGCAGCATAATTAGCTAACAAGATGGATGATTAGGCGATTGTTAACTCGTGGATGGTAATTGGAAACGTACTTCTTCGGTGATCCTCGAAGAGATTGATGATCTCGTCGACAATCTCAACTGGAGCATTGCGGCGTCGCTGGGATTCCCGGATCGACTCTGGGTTTCCTCCGCGCTCCGTGATGAAGTCGTTTATGTCGAGCATTTTGATGAGTTTGCGGTCGATTCTATACTTCGATTAGAAGGTGGCTTTCTCGCGCGATAGTGTAAGATGAACGAGTGCGAGGGGTGTCTCTGGTCAATTTGGTGCTTTAAAAGGATTTGCAAACAGAAGAGTCATGTCCGTTGAGTCATTCCCGCCAAACAAAGAGAGACTTGGGGTACATACCAAGTTATACTAGGCTTTTCCAGGAGACGAAGCCAGGGCGACGATCAAGGTGAGCAATAGAGTCCAGTTTTAACCCCGAAACAGACTCCTGAACAGTATTGAGGTGTTCTAGTTGTTGATCAAGAGTCTGGGCTGCGAGATCACAATGGTGGGGTTGTTGCTACGCCCCACCCAAAAACTTCAGGCCACTTCGTTTCCGACGCGGGGTTCATTTGTTTGAGCCTTATCGGGCTCGGGATTCTGCTCTTATCGCTGCCACCAGGACGAAGGCAGGTCTAGGTAACCACCAGCTCGCCGGGACAAGCAAGAGGTGGTGAAGCAAAGAGGTAGAGGATATCACGGCTCAATTAGTGCCTCGAGAGCCAGATTTCCCTAGCGAGAGCTTGAATAAAATCTATTAAACTCTGAATATCTAAAAAGCCCAAGCAAAACAAGACACCAACGTCCAAAAGTTTATTAAAGATAATCCAACGTGACCAAAACCTCTTATTTGTGTACCAATGACCAAATAATGCCATACGTGTTTCGTTTCGTAATCGAAAAGGCGCATAATACGTTCTTCATCTTCAGAGATCAGCTCGAGTGATCGTGGCTGCTTCAACCAGTCCGTCGGGCCAGGCCCGCCTCAGCTTGTTGCTCTTCATCGGCGGCCGAAAGGTCGGTTTGGGTTTGAGAATGGAAGTGAGAGGGGCTGTCTCTGGTCCCGATCACATCAGCAAGCAGTTGCTCTTCTGGGGCGGCTCTCCTGGGTTCTGGGACTTCTCGATCTCCCCGATCATGAGCTCGAAAGCCTTGGCGACATTCTGGTCGTACCGGGCGCTGGCCTCGATCCAGGCGCACCCCAGCTTCTCGCCGACCTTGCGGCCTTCCTCCTCGGTAACCTGTCGCTGCTCGGGGCGCAAATCGCTCTTGTTTCCGACAATAACGACGGGGACGGTCTGGGTGCCCTGGTTTTCGCGCGAGACAAGTTAGCCATTTTCTGTGTGGGCCGAGGCGGTGTGAGGAGGGCGTGTGCATACAAGGTTGTTTAGAATCTTGTCATGAATGACCTGAACCATCTCAAGCGAACTCGACGATTGTACCGAGTAGACCAGCATGTAGCCATGGATACCAATGAAGTGCTTGGAATTCAAGATACTGTATTCATCCTGCACGCAGACATCATCCGTCCCTGCGTTAGCTGGCTGTTGCACATCGAACCGGGGTCCCAGGTGGACTGACCTGCCCAGCAGTGTCGACAATCTCGGTCAAGTATTCCTGGCCCTTGTACCGGATCGACTTGCTGAATGTGTTCTCAATTGTGGGATAGTAGCTGTCGACAAAGTGGCCATCGACGAACTGGACCGCCAGGGATGACTTGCCTGCAGAAAAGTTGAAACGAACCAGATCAGCAGTGTTCAATCGCACCAGGACTTGCGCCCCGAGTATCTCCTTGCGCCTCGTTGCTGAGGCGCCGAGGCGACCTCGGCGTCGGAAACAGACGAAAACCCCCTTTTGGTTCAGGCAACCGCCCTGGGCAGGTATGTACTTACCGACAGCTCGGCTGCCAACGATGGCGACCTTCCGTTGCTTCGGCGCAGGCATTTAGGGCAACGTAGACGAGTGTACCGCTCTAAATTATGCCGTAGACAAGGAGATGGGATGTGCTCTTCGAGGCGATGTAACCCGTGGAGCCGACGCTTCAGCCGTGGTTTGTCGTACCGTGTTTTAATGGTGGGGTGGCGATGATGTAACGGCGGAGAGGTTCGGGGGGCTTGCGACTGCTAGAGGAGGGGCTCAGGGACCTGCAGGTCAGTAAACTTCAGGCGCCAGAGCAGGAAGCACAAAATTGACAAGGAAGCAGATATTGCTTGCATTC